CCATGTGTGGGGACAAGTCCTAAGAGAAGGACGGTTTACATGGAAGCCATGATTTGCAGCCACTTGCGAACTGCAAAGGGCGCAGACACCTCAACAGAAAAAAGACACAAAGAGAAAGGGGTGAAGACCAAGGCAGGCAGGTCACAGGAAAGAAATGACAGTGATATGTGACAAGCTATTGAAATTCATACAGAAAAACAGATCAACATATTTCTGAGGTATCTTTCTGTGCTTTTAGGATTGGCAAAAATAAAAAGACAAACCAAGCCAGTGTGAGCCAAGGTGAAGGAGGGCAGCCAGCCACCGGACCTGCTGTGGGGGAGACAGGGCACCTGGCAGGTACCCTTAAAGGTACACACACACTCCCCGACCAGCAGGTCCCAGCTAGGAAGTTATTATCATAAGTAAATTAAGCCATATTTTTAAAGCAAGGAAATAATGCAAAAACACATGAAAAATAGGTTAAATCCAAAACATTGCCCAACAAGTATGGACATCAACAGATTGGAACAGACCCTGGCTATAACCACTCACACACGGCCCTCCCGTGGGCTCTCCCGGAGTGTCCTGGGGAGGGACACTGGTGGATAAATGAGTAGACAGGGCATACGGGCTGTGTGGAAAGCTCTCCAGCACGTGTCAGTGGAAGGCTAAGGTGCAGCCGGGTGAACGACATGGACGTCAGTTCTACACGTCGTGAAATGCGTGTAGCTGTGTGGGTGCCTCGAACATTCTGGAGGAAGACGTCAGACACTGAGAGGCAAAGAGGAGCCAGGGGCTGTAAGGGCGAGACTTTTCCCGTTATACTCTTGAGCTTTGCAGTTTATTAAAGTAACAAACCACGACTGGACATGCACCCATTTCAGGCACTGGACTAGGCCCTGGAGAGATGAGGGAGGCCGCATTGAGGGTTGAGACACTGGCATGGGCTGCCCAGCCAGACGCCTGGGTTTGCACCCTGGCTGCACACTTAGAAGGTGGGAGACCACCGAATGACTTACCGTCTGTCTGTTGCTTGTCTGTAAGAGGGGGACTGACATCCTTACCTGAGAGGGTTGCCGTGAGAATTCAATGAGACAGATAATGCATGGGTAGAGTTGAACACAGTGCCAGGTATTTGTACCTGTTGCTTAACTGCTAGCTCTGAAACAAGTGAGGTCCCCATCCAGCGGAACACCCAGTACAGTGAGTGGCTGACCCGAGAAGAGGGGCTGATAATTGGGAATAAAGGACCAGGTTGTCGGATAAGCCATCTAGGCCTATGTGGGCACCACCCAGCACGACAGCAGGCCTTGGAGGCCTTGCCCTGAGGAGAGAGGGGTGGAGCTAATGAGGCCTTCACTTGAGATGGCCCCAGGGCACCAGCGGAGGCTCCCCGGGAGCCAGGAGGGAGCCAGGAGGGAGCCAGCCCGAGGGGAGGCTCAGCAAGGTGAGTCCTACAGGAGAGCTGGAGACACTCAGACACTCTGGAGCAGAGCGAAGAGTCTAAGTCAGCTGAGGAAGCTCATTAGCTAGAGCTAGAGGCCAGGAAGCATCCAGAGGACCAGGGAGGGAGAGTGGGGAACGGGAAGAGGTTCAAGCAGGGGCCATAGATCAACAACTGTTCAAAGGAGTTGGGAGCCCACTGTTTTGGCTGATTATTTTCTCTTTTATTTTTCTGAATTAAGCACATGGAACTTCCATGGTACCCTCTGCTGCTTCTGCGATCCTCTGGATTGACCCCTTTTCCTACACTTTCTGTGCCCAGTGTTGTAGTGGGACGCCGGGCCTGAGCCTTGGGGTCAGCTGGCACGTGGCCGGGTATCTGGGGGCCACAGCCCTGCTTCAGTTTGATGTGTGCTCCACTCTGTACCAGTAGCTCACTCAGCCTTCTTGGTGAGAAGCTTGCTGTCCCGGAGGGAAGAGCTGCCATCAACACTCAGTAAGCAGAGCCCTAAACTACTCACTAAAGGAACAGATGAATGGTCCCCTGAGTTCTGTTTCTACCTGTAAGTCCCCACCTTTCAGGTGTACATGCAAGAAGACAACGGCTCTTCAGGTGGCCCTCTTTAATGACACTGCCTGTTCTAAAATGTAATTTAAAAAAATTAGAGCAAGTAAGGAATGAACTAATGGGTCCAGGTCTGGTCCTCTCAACATCTTTTACTAAATAATCCATCCTTTCGTCACCAAAACAATAGACCCACTAATTCATCTTATATATTTGGCCTATAAGGTGCTCTTCAACTACAGTGATCTTGTATTCTCTTCTCACCTCCTCTCATTCCTTTTTCATCCCTCCTTACACCAGCGTGTTTACCTTTGATCTTACTCTGACTTCTTGTTTCATAAAAGCCAAACTTTCTTTTGTCTCACTGAGAACAAAACAGATATTTCCTAATTTTTTCCCTATTACTCTAGTTAATTATTTTCAGAGTCAGGCTTTTCCCATCTAAGGAATGTTTCTATTCTCTTTTGCTATAGAAATAACAAGAATGTTATAAAATGTTAGTGGAAGATAAATGAGATATTTTCTTTGGATAGAATACTTTCCCAAAATGTTTATTTTCCAATGACAAAAACTTTTAACAGTCTGTCCTTATTTTATAGTGGCACAGATACATTAATCAGTTGCTTTGATTATACCTTTTTTGTGAGGACATTTTGACAAAACATTATTATAGGAAACTTATTTTTTAAATTGCTTTAATTTTTAAAAATAGAGATTTAAAAAACATTGTTATCATTTCGACATTAAAAAACCCAGGCTATGACCAATAATAGTTTTAAGCTTACCTAATAAAGATATGACTGAAAACAAAAGTGTAACCTCCAAATGCCAGGACCCTGTGCGCATCGAGATCCCTCCGAGACGGATGCTGTAACAGAGGCAAAGAGCCGCTAGGTGGCTCCGTCATTTTTAAATAAAACTAAAGTCCGCAAAGGATAAGGTGTACTTAAGAACAAAAGACTGTAGGTATCTTTACTTGGCAGAACCTTTAATCAAAACAAGAAACAAAAATCTGCAATTATGGCCTCTTACTCAGAATAATTTGGAGCTATCGAATTGAGAATTAGACTTAAAAAACAACCCTGCCATACTGCAAAGTATGTACGGGCAAGCAATTTGCTGAAGACAGGGAAGGTACTACATTCTTAAGGACATCAATTACTGAAGAAAGACGTTCCAGTTTTTCTTAATTTATTGCCATCTAGGTTCTCAGCTTTTCTTTCGGACTTTCTTTAGTTTAGACTGTTAAGTTTAAGGGAAAAAATTAAACTTGGGCCTTATAACTCATTCAAAACTGCTTTCGAATTTCTTGGACTATCAGTTGTCATACTTATTAACATCTCAGGAGAAAAGAACAAAACAACTTCGTTTAAGGCTACTTGGGAAGGAAAAGACAAAGGAAAAAAGAAAAGAAAAGACGAGAAGAGAAAAGAAAAGAAAAGCACTGTGCTTATCTAAACTAAGAAACCTTTAGATCCTTAAATCAAAATACAATTAACGCAAATACCATTCCGTTCTATAGCATTTACCACGAGACTGAAACAGTGCTTAAGAGTTGGCAAATGACTCCTTTCTGGTTCCAGAAAAGATGAGAAAAATAGTTACATTTTAAGTCGAGTGTGATTTGCTTCTCAGATACCAACATTTGCTAATTAAGTAGCTCTAGATTTCTTTCTCCCCCTCCCCCCCCGAAGTTATATACGGAAGACCATAATTTCCCCCCAAGTACAAAACTAACTTTATCATGAAAATAAATGCAGAGTTGGCAGGTTCCAAATTATCAAGTACTCTGAGCTGTCAGTCTGCGATCGGCAAATAGTGGGGGAAACATCTTCCTCTTCCCTCTCCCTTAAAGGAGAATCTCAGATTTGTTCTATCCCTAAAGAACACATTTAGGGATAGATGTAATTCGTAAAAAAAACAATTCTTATTGTTGTCCGCAGCCAATAAATAATGATGGCGTGGCATGTGGTGTCGCTGCAGGATTTTACTGGTTTTGTTTTTCCAGGCAGGAGCCGCATTTGAAAACTTGGTTCATAAAAGTATTTTTTTCACAAAAGTACCCTAATTTGAGAACACCCTTTTCTCCTTCTTTACAGAGCGCTCCTTGCACACAGTATAAATTCCGCTTGGCTTTAAAACGCTTATTCCTGACCCACTTATTTAAAAGTTTTTGAAAACGTTCGCCCTTCTGCTTTGGAAGACAACAAATCACACCGAAAGAATGCACGCTTCGGACGGGAAAATGAACAGATACTTCCGAACGCGAACGAACGGAGTTGTTAAGACTCGATCTCAGTCCCTCCCCCCCGAGTTCCCCAGAAGGGAGCACAGCGAGGATGCCTGTTCACATAAACCGCCGCGCAGCCCAAGAGCTGCAAGTCTCGTCTGTTACGCTCCACGCCGCAGGTCTGTGGGGACCAGACGCGAATTCGGCACCTCGATCACAAAAGGTGTAGAGGCTGGAGGTGGAAAAACCGGAGGCAGCCAGGTAGGTGGCCCGAGAGGCCCTCCAAAGTCGAAGCACGGACTTACGAGAAGTATCTGTCCCCTTTTGGTTATCATTTCTTTGTGTCAATATTCGTCATTTTATTTCATGACTGTGCTAGAACTTGTCCGCGAGGAAGAGGTGCTTCGCCCGAAAACTGGAGGCGCCGGCCTCCCGGGACTCCCGGGCTCGCGGGCTCCGGGGGCGGCCAGGAGGGGCTGCCAGGGCGGGGCGCGCTCCCGGGCCGCGCGGGCAGGTGGGGCGTGGCGGGGGCGTGGAGAGCCCGCCCGGGGCCGCCGCCCAGCCCGGCCGGCGGTGGGGGCGGGAGCCGCGCGGGCAGGTATAAGAGGCCGGGTCGCGGGCGCACCGCGCGCAGCAGCCCCACCTGCCCGCAGCGACGGGAGCCGAGCGAGGGCGCCGCCCGCAGGGTTGGCTCCTAGAGGGATGCTCTCGCCCGAGCGGCGAGACCAGCCCCGCTCGCCCCTCGCCGCCGCCGCGCCGCACCCGCCGACGCCCGCCGACATGTCTCTGTACTGCGGCGACAACTTCGGCGTGTACTCGCAGTCCGGCCTGCCCCCGGCCGCCGCCGCCGCCGCCCCGGGCGCACCCCCGGCCGCCAGGGCGCCCTACGGGCTGGCCGACTACGCCGCGCCGCCCGCCGCCGCCGCCAACCCCTACCTGTGGCTCAACGGGCCGAGTGTCGGCGCCCCGCCGGCCGCCGCCGCCGCCTACCTGGGCGCCCCGCCGCCGCCGCCGCCGCGGGGCGCCGCCGGGCCCTTCCTCCAGCCGCCCACCGCCGCCGGCACGTTCGCCTGCGCCCAGCGGACCCTCGCGCAGCCCGCGCCCGCCGCGCCCGCCGCGCCCGCGGGGCCCGCCGCGCCCTGCGACCTGGGCTGGCTGTCCATGGCCAGCCGCGAGGACCTGATGAAGATGGTGCGGCCGCCCTACTCGTACTCGGCGCTCATCGCCATGGCCATCCAGAGCGCGCCCGAGCGCAAGCTCACGCTCAGCCACATCTACCAGTTCGTGGCCGACAGCTTCCCCTTCTACCAGCGCAGCAAGGCGGGCTGGCAGAACTCCATTCGCCACAACCTGTCGCTCAACGACTGCTTCAAGAAGGTGCCCCGCGACGAGGACGACCCAGGTGAGGGCGGCGGGACAGGTGCTTCCTTCCGGGCCCGAGCGCAGGGCCGCGGCGCGCAGCCCGGGGGTGGGTGGTCCTGGCGTGGACTTCAGACCCGTCCGGAGTCTCCGGGCTCCAACTGGGGGTGAGAGCCGGTGGAGGCACAACCACCCACACTTTGTTTGATTGAGGTTCAGGGAACCCATAGGACAGGAAAAAGTATCGGCAGACTCTTGCCCCTCAACCCCCCACCGCCACCCCCTCGCACGCAGAGGCTGGCAGGCAGAGAAAAAGGAAAAGGCCCCAGTTCTCAAACGGGAGGCCACCCCTGCGCCACTTGAAGGGAGGGTCAAGTTACAGGGAGGAAGGTGAGGAAGGAGAGCGTGGCAAGCTCTCGGATAGGGTGACGCTAAAGGGCTTCGGACCAGCTGAGAATCCATCCCCTTCGCAGAAGAGGGGGTGAGACCGAGAGGAACAGGCCACTCAGCCGCCTCAGATGCACTTCCTTCTGCATCAGGGTCTAAGAGACTCACGTCAGGGTGCCCTTCATAGCACAGGTATTCTGCCTGCCTTGGGAGAGATGCTTTGAGGCTAAGTGGCATGGACGTGAGACAGGGGCAGAGAGACAGATACGTCAGCTGAGTCCTGCAAATTGTGGTTTTGGTGTCGTAAATATTTAAAAGTGCAAAAATGAGAACCCCACATTTGCGTCTCTGTGATGTAAGCCAGGCATGAGGAGGGTTGGCCTACACGGAGTGCGTGAGTTTCCCTCTACCTGGGAAGTGGAGGGGAGGTCTTCCAAAGGAGCCGGGTCGAGGGAGGTGGGCGCAGAGCTGTGATAGGAAAAGAAGAGAAATAACGTCATTTGCACACTCCAGAGACCCAGAATTTTGTGTAAATGGCACAAATCGCCCGGAGTCCTCTAGAGCAGTGGTTTCTGATAGAACCACAGTACAAACCACATGTGATTGTAAATGTTCTAGTAGCCACGTTAAAAAAGTAAAAAGAAACCAGTGAACTTACTGTGTTTTTATGTAACCCAAAATATTGTTTCAACCCATCACAAGTATAAAAACCGTTAGTGAGGTACTTTACATTACTTTTTGGTACCAAGTCTTCAAAACTCCATGTGTCTTACACTACGTCTTGCTTTGGACTGGCCACTTTTCAAGTGCCCAGCAGCCGGGTGTGGCTCCTGGTTACTGGTGGGCCAGGCATGCAATTCTAGAACGTTCTTCTTCCAACCTGGCCTCCAGGTCACCTGAGATGGTCAGTACATTTTATGTACACTCCTCTGGACCTTCCTTAAGTTCATCTATGTAAACAGGTGGCACAATATAACTATCCTGATAGGTGCAGGTGTCATTATTGAGACAGTAGTGATGAATACACTTTTTCTGCAGCAATGTGCAGAGAATGTGTCTGGGGAGAAAGCGGATGAGAGGAATGAGTTCATTTTCAGGGGCAGCATGACCGGAGCTAGTGAACGCCGAGTCAGAGCGTTCCTGGCTCTCCTGTTGTTAACCGGGAACGCAGCAGCACCAAGCGGGCTGCACCTCAGTTTCCCCATCTGAAACGGAGGCGATAAGTTGCCTGTCTCCACAGGGCTGTGAGGAATAACCCAGGTTGTCCAGGTTAAGCGCGCAGTAAAGATAAGCACTCACTAGCACTTTCAAACGCTGTCAGTTGTTTTTACCAGAAGTGAAAAGAGCTTTGGGGAGATAAAATTCTCCAAGATGATAGACTCTTTTTCTTTTAACCTCAGATATGTTGGCTAAATTGTGAGCTTTTTTAAGCAGGAGAGTAGCATCGCATCCTTTCAGTGGGCCCTGATCACCGAGATTGGCCCAGTGGAGGGAAACTTGGAGGAGACGCAGGGGCCCTCTTGCCCAGGGCCCCTAGGAGAGGAGTTGCTGTGATCTCAAACCTGCCATCCAAGATGGGAAACATGTGGTAGCGCGGTGATAACCGCTGTCATTTTGGGTCAGCAAGCCAGAGGATCGGTCTCTGAGGTTGCCTTTTTGCAGCATTTTTTAGGGACAAGTATTATACACTCACAGCAAATACGGATGGCAGATGCTGTTTTCACACTGTGTGCCACCGGCTACTGTGCAAACATCGTTAACCCTCACGGCCTATGAGGTGGGGACACTCTTCACCCTATTTCTGTAAACACAGCAGCGGAGGTCAAATCTCAGCAGTGCCGGGATTTTGCAAGCGCACTGCATTTGGAGCCGGACGGGAAGGTGTTGGGTAATTATAAGTGTCTTGTGAATGGAACTAGGTCTTAAAATTTAAGGAGCCCTGTCAGGAGGAGGTGAAAGTGGCCTCTTTGCTCCAGATTTCTCCGTGAAGGTAAATAAAATGCCCCAAGGATACCTCTGGACACACAGTGGACTGAGCATCTTTGTCAGCGTTTATGGAAGTCTGCCCTCCTTCTCCTGAACACGGAAGCTGAACGAGCAGGCGTACTGAGGTCCTTCCCTAACACCTGTCTCTCTCACCTCCACAGGGAAAGGGAACTACTGGACCCTGGATCCGAACTGCGAGAAAATGTTCGACAACGGGAACTTCCGCCGGAAGCGGAAGCGCCGCTCGGAGGCCAGCGGCAGCTCCGCGGTGGCTGCAGGGACGTCAAAGTCAGAAGAGGGTCCGTCCTCAGGATTGGGGTCTGGTGTGGGTGGGAAGCTGGATGGAGACAGCCCCTCGGCTTTGCTGAGGCCCTCCCAGTCTCCAGAGCCCCCCGAGGGCGCCAAGAGTACTGTCTCGTCCCCGGGAGGGCCCGTGCTCACCTCCACCCCTTGCCTCAGCACCTTCTTCAGCAGCCTCAGCACCTTGAGTGTCAGCAGCAGTGGGGGCACCCAGCGAGCCGTCCCTGGCGGCCACCACCTCGGGATCCAGGGGGCCCACCTGCCCTCCAGCAGCACCTTTCCCGCCAGCTCCGTCTCGGAAGCCTCACCAGACACCTTACAGCTGGGTAACAGCAGCAGCAGCAGCGGTGGCAGCAGCCAGAGATCCTCCTACTACAGCCCCTTTCCCGCCAGCACCGGCGCGGGCCAGAGCGGCCCCTTCAGCCCCCCTTTCTACAACTTCAGCATGGTCAACAGCCTCATCTACCCGCGGGAGGGCTCCGAGGTGTAGAGCGCCACTTCCCGGGCTTGGATGCACACCTGCGGTCTCGTTCACGTGCGGATTCCAGGGCGCAGGTCTGGGTGGGTGCTGCGTTTCTCTGGAGTTCCCAGTGGTCTTTCTGGCCTGTTGACCGCACTTGGAAGTACCCTGGGTGTAGTACAACCCAGGAAGTTTCTGCAGTTCCTCTGGATGAGGGGCTCCCTGGAGAGAAATGCACCCCTCTCTGCTCTCGGACAGTGCCTGTGGGCCCTGTGAGGACAGGGACCATATTTGTTTTATTCATCACTGTATATCAGGGTTACAAGCTCAGATGTGTCCATGGGCCGGCCACAAACAAGTGAATGGGGCCGCTGGGTAGGAACAAGGTAGCAGCCGGCAGCCGAAGCGGTCAGGCTGTCGTGGGCAGCTAAGTGTTTTTCTTCCTTCCTGGCAGTGTTCTGAGTTTCCTAAAAAAGTCTGATCTGTCTTTTTATAGGAAAACTCCATTTGAATTCTTGGCCGCTTATCAAAGTTTAAAAAATAATGTACTAGGAAACCCCCCAAATCATTGAACTGTGTCAGGCTGATGAATCTCCTCTGCTCATGCTCCGAGCCTGGTGTGTGGTAGGTCCTAGTGGCAGCAAAGCTACCCAAGCAAGCCCTGTGTGCCAGGCACGGGTCTACGCACCTGACTTATTTAATCCTCCAACAGCCTTGGGAGACGGGTATTATTCAAGCCCTCGTTTTCCTACGGGGCTGTGCAAGGCCAGGCTGTCAGGTAACTCGAGGCCACGCAGACAGCCAGTCGTGAGGACAGAACCCAGCCCTCGCAGTCTGGCCCGGAGCAGGTCCTTGTAACTGTTCCAGTTCCTGGAAAGCAAAGGCAGACACTGGAGTGTAGGGATGAGCGAGATCGCATTTGACCAAAGATCCGGGTTGAAATAGATCCCTTGAGATGTTGCCCTGAGCAGCAAGGACCGGCACCCCTCGGCCCTCCTGCTGCCGCTGCATTCCCAAGGCCGCGAGCACGGTCCCAGCTGCAGTGACATCCTCTCCTGTTTATTATTATTATTATTATTATTTTTGGTACGTGCCCCTAGCGGAAACCGAACCTGGGACTCTGTGGTTCTCAGGCCGACACTCCAACCGCTGAGCCAAACCGGCCAGGGCAACATCCTCTCCTGTTTAGCATGTGTCCTGGATTTTTCTTTAAACGAAGTATTAGAATTTTATTAAAAGTAGTTTTTTAATTGAGTTTTTATACTTTTTTAAAAATAAGCCATTTGTGGTACATTTTTAAAAAGTATAATTTATTTTTAGCACTCCCTTTTGCTTCTTAAGAGGTATTTTTGTTTGAATCACATGTGCGGGCGGCCTCCCGTGCCCCGCAGAGCCCTCTCAGGATCCAAAAGTATTAGCTGATATTATTGGAACGATGTTACATTAAGATGAAGATAATGTGCTATGAATTACCTTTGTACCTGTTGTTGGTTTGGGGTTTTAATTTTTTTTTTTTGGAAAAGGAACACAAGTACATTGTAAAAGAAATTTAATTTTCCTCCGTCTTTTTTGAAACTCTGACACCGTTACTCTTAAAGTTTTTATTTTGAAATAACTTACAGAAAGCTATTTTTAAAAGCAGTTTATTGAGGTATAAGTGACGTCAGCATCATTGTTTAAATACTATGAACAGGCGCACCTGGCTTTACTGCACTTCATAGAGGTTGCATTTTCTTTCTTTCTTTTTTTTTTTTTACAAATTGAAGGCAGGACCCTCCACTACTAAAAGGTGACAGCTTGCTTTCTTGTGATACTTGCTTTATGGGGATGCTCTGGAACCGAGCCTGCAATGTCTCCGAGGTCCGCCTGCAGAAAGACAACCAAAGAGACTGCCTACACTGTACAAACGTCCAGTTTCAGTGGATGTTATTCTACGTGAAAAATCATGGACTTTTATAATAGTGTTTGTAACAGTTCTATATTTGTAAAATAATTTATAATGTGAACTGAGACAAAAATTTTTTCCCCCAAGAAAGTACACTGAGTGATGAGAAGTACATGAAATAAACTCGAAGTGGGATGACTTCTGGCCATTTTTCGGCATGAGTGGTTTTCTGTTCTCTGTTCCTTTCTTTCTCCAGAAGAGAGAGGTGAGTGGCAGGGCACCGGAGCCCCTGCTGCGGGCCTGCGAGCGAGCGGGGGGCAGCGATGGGCTTTTCCTTGGCGTTGCCCCGCCCACCCGGATCCGCAGGGCTGGAAGGAAGCAGTTATCTTTGGGGAGGGCCCCAGGCACAGGAGCATTTCCTTAGAGCACCAGCTGTGCCATTTGGGTTGAGAGAGACTGCACCAGAGGGCTTCTGTTGCAGAAAGAAATGTGCTGGCAAAGGGTCACCAGCTGGTGTTCTAGTACTCAAGGGGTCCCCGGCAGCCCACCATTTCCAAGGACATCGCTGGGAAACTGGAACATGGCCTCGACCAGAAGGCACCTGGAAGGCGAGGTTTCTGGACTAGGGCTTCTCCACAGGGCTCTGTTGATATTTGGGGCCGGATGATTGTGTAGGGGCGGCCCTTTGCATCACAGGGCGTCTAGCAGCCTCCCTGTTCTCTGCCCATTAGACCCAGAGGCCCTCTCTCACCCCTGGTCCTGGCCATGTGTGACAACCAGGAGTATCCTCTAGGCATTGCCAAAGGTCCCCTGGGGGACAAAGTGAGCCCTGCTTGAGAACCACTGGTCGAGGCCAACCCACAATTTGCCAGTGAGGAAAGGCAGCCTCTTCGCTGCCCACAGAGTGTCAGACCTCGGGCTTGTACCCGGCGGCGTCCTGTGAGGTGCCTTTCTCCTGAGAACCAGCTGAGAGCAGGTGCCGCCCAGTGATGGGCGTTTCTCAAAGCTACAGGTTGGCGGGTCACACTGGAGGTAGACTCCTCCAATATTTTCGTTGTTGATTATAGATCTTTTAAAAAATTTTCCCCCTTAATTGATTTTAAGAAAGAGGAAGTGAGAGAGAGAGAAACATGGATGAGAGAGAACATCAATTGGCCGCCTCCTGCATGCCCCCCCACGGGGGATCGGGCCCACAACCTGGGCATGTGCCCTGACCAGGAATCGAACCGGCAACCTCTTGGTGCATGGGTCCACACTCAACCACTGAGCCACACCGGCTGGACTGATTATAGATCTTTTTATGGTAGCTTTCTTCTTGGCATTGAATTACTTCTATTAATAGAGATCTAGGCTGGGGATAATTTTGATTAACCAGTAAACTATGTGGTTATTTTGGGGCTGCAAGGGGTGTGGGGACACTAGAGAACATAATTAACCTGCGTTTGGAAGTATCTAGATCTGGGTGGTTGGCTGTTAAATGCCAGCACACTGGTATCTATGAGAACAGGGTGTTGGGAATGACTCCAGATCGGAACAGCTAACGGGAAGGGCAGCGGGTGCGTAGGACCCCCGACCCCCACCCCCAGGACAAGGAAGCCGGCCAAGGGCACGTGTCTGCGCGGGAACTGCCTCCTGCTGGGCACAGGGTTAAAGGGGAAGGGGCTAAGCTGCCCGTGTTTTCAGGCCCAAGTCTGCACCTGCAGTTTGGTTGGGAACCAGGTCAGACATCAGGGCCCCGAGCTGAATTTCACAGCGTGGTGTCCGGAAGAGCGTGGAGGAGAAGGTTCGTACCACGCACCTGGTTAAGGCTTTCTTTTTAATGCTCGTAGATCCTTTTATTTCATTCTTAAACATGTGGGGAAAAGCTCTGAAACTGCCTTTGTACCCCAACTCCTCCCAGAACCCCCAGGGGTGCTAACCAGTTCCTCCCAGGGCCAGCTGGGCCAAGCTCTGAGCACAAGGACGCTCGCTGACTTTGGGGCCACTCCCAAAGGGCGCTTTCCTCTCTGAGCCTCCCAGTGTGGGAAGAGCCTAAATCCTTGGGGTCTGACTGTGTCTTGCTTTCTTTAAATGCTCCAGGCCCTGAAAGGAGCAGTTGTCGGTGGAATCGAGGCCGCTGGTTTCCTGCGCCCAGAGGATTTACAGGTTTCTGGGGTAGAGACCCGGCGGCCCAGGGGCCTTGCCTTTTGTCATGGAAAGCAGGCTGCAGGGTGGGTGGCTGCGTGGCTGGCACCACTGAAGGAAGAAGGGGGTTTCAGTTGGATTAGAAAACAAAAAAGACCAGGTAGCTACTGAATTCCTCCCGTTTTTTATTCATGATGTCAGGGCATCATCACCAGAGCCCTAGGAGGTCTGGGGAACAGCCCTTTATCATTTAAAAAAGGCAACATTACAATAATAATGACGCACTTCTCGGATGCTAGGCACGGTCCTAGAGCACGTGTGTAAAACGGCTGTATTAACCCTCCCGACACCCATTACTGAAGACTGTTCTTATTCATTTCACCACCGAGAACAGAGGCCTGGGCATCTGTGGAGCCAGGCCTTGGGGGGAAATCTGAGTGTTCACACCAGGGTTCCAAATCAGAGCACGCCTGCCCTGTGCCAAGCACACTGCCTCTCCACTCGGGAGATGAACTGAGAGGCACAGAGAGGTTTAGCAAGGTGCCCAGCGCCACACAGCTTGCTGGTTGCAGATGTGGGCCCACTGTCCCCCACAGCGATGTCCCCTTCAGGCATCTCCTCTGTTGGCTCCTGAGGGTTTTGTGTCTGGGGCCCTTTCCAGGTCACAGGAAGGAGCAGTGGGGAGAAAAGTCACTTTTCTTTGAAATGTTCTCTCGAGGTCAGCCAGCAGCCAGGTCACAGCCCCAGGTCCCAGGCTCTGAAGCTGCTGAGGACGCGGGCCTGGAACCTTGGCCTCCATAGATTTACCCCCTGGCTCGGCAAATCCCTTTGGTTATCAGGCCCTGGGCCGGCCATTGAGATGACCCGTCGCAAGCAAGGGAGGCCTAGACAAGTACCCCAGGGAAGAGGTGGGCCCTCCACTGGCTGCCAGCCTCTGGGGAGGGCGGTGATGGGGGCCCCCACTGCCTCTGGGGAAGGTGGTAATGGGGCCCCCACTGCCTCTGGGGAGGGCGGAGAGGGG